CTGGGAGTTGAAGTCCACCCATCTTAAAGTGGCCAAGTTTGGACAACACTGCATTATGTGAAGGCCCAGTTCTCTGGAGAAGGCTGCGAGGCTGAGAAGGTCTGATCTATCTGACCACACAGCAGAATTTTTAGACTGATTAAAATAGTGCGCTCATCAAATTATTTTCCCTTCCTCAAAATCAGCGAGGGTGATCCAACGGAGCTAAATTGTGGGAGGACAAATGAAAGGAGGCCCTTTTTCACAGAGTTAATCTGTGGGATTCACTAGTATATGATACAATGATGGCCACCAACTTGGGTAGCTTTAAAAGGAAGGTGGACCAAAAACTAGAGGGCACTCGCTATTCAACTTAACGGTTCTAAATGATCTATAATAAGAGAGCCAGTAAGACTCTTAATATTAGTTTCTGGGTGAGTCGTGTTTCACCCATGCTCTGGCCACTCCAGGAAGAAAGGGATGACTAGATGATCTCTTAGCTTTCATCTCTCTAGCTGGAGACCTTGACTATAGAAACAAACAGAAAACTCAAATGCTGGTACAGTTAAGTAACCAAATAACCAAATAAAAGTTCATGGTATATTTAATTATGACTCAGCTTTAAACAGCTCAAATATTTAGGGTGCTATCTCCACAACAGATAGTATATGTTGGTTTATAACTTCATAAAATATTTAAGATGGTCAGATAATAAAGAATCTACTGACAATTTGGGATGCGTCCAGTGATCAATGTTCCAATAGCAATATAGGATGCTTAATTCAAAGAAGGGCATATTTTATTAAATACATCTCTGCAAGTAGAGCGTTTTCCAAAATGGAAACAAGAAAGCATGATGTATGTTTGAACAAGCTGCATTCATTTCATTCATTGAGGATTGCTTTCTAACTTATAATATATAACTTCAATTTATAACTGGTTTACTGCCTTTAGATTGTTACATTCTTAGGCAAAAAAACCCCAACCCTTAATTCTTGCTCCTGCGTGCTGATGTACAATCACATCAGACCCTTATTATTTTCAGTGCACTGCTTATAAATAAAACGCTAAAGTATTCATTATATCATCCTCCCTTAATTGTTCGCATCTAAACAGCCTTTTCTTTCCCCGTTCAATGCTGAACACGTAATATCCATGTGTTGTGAAGGCAGAATACATACAACACAAAGTGCAGAGCTAAAACTGTTGCAATTAAACATTTGTTATCAAATGATTAAAAAAAAAACATGCACACAAGGATAACGGAATTAAAATAAGGACACAATCAAGCTCAGTCTACTGGAAGGATCTCATTTTCTAATTCCAATAATTTTCTAAAACAAAAGGCAAATTTTATGAAGGAGGAAGAGGAGGGGGGAGAAAGGAGAAGGAGGAGGAGGAGAAGGAGGAGAAGGAAGAGGAGAAGGAGAGTCATCATGAGATCTAATCAGCCTCAGACTCTGCTGGACTTTGAGAACTGAAACTTTATTTGAAGCGTCTATCAAATTACCCAACCTGTAAGTAACACCTTCCCAGTTTGGCCTACAATCTATCATGCTGGCTAAACAGAGCTCCACGTTTGAACAGCTGATATCTATCTTCTGCCCTCTCAGAAGTAGTCTTCACTCTTTATTATTAAATTGCTATTTTCCTACATTTTCTCAACAAGGCTTGAGTTCTTCTCCAAGTATTCTGATACTTGTCTAAAGAATCAAACGTCACAGCATGCTACTTTGATTGTGTTGTTAGTCTCTGGGCACCCTGTCTTTTGGCAGAATACTCCCAGAATCTTGGTTGGAATTGGTTGTTTATTAAGTCCTTCCTATTCTCATTTCTTCGTGTTTTGGAATATGTAGGAGGAGAGCTGTGTTAGTCTGGGGTAGCCAAAAATCCAGGAGGACCCCGGTGGCACCTTCAGACTAACCATTTTTACTGAAAGGCACACATTTACTGAACTTGAGCCCACTTCACCAGATGCAAATGTTATTGAATGGCATATACTTTCATGAAGTACAGCTCACTTCCTCAGTGAACCTGTTAGTCTGAAAAGGTGCTACCAGATTCTTTCTGATTCATGTTCTAGAAGAGGAATCTGTTGAACCTGGCAGTGGAACCTGCAGATGATAGATGTCAACGAAGCACATAAGCGAAATATTAAGGCATTCTCTCTCCATAATCCGAGAAAATATTCTCAAATGGAAGGGTCTGAAAATCGGAGTTATGAACCAACCCATTTACTAACAAAATCACAAGGCTACTATGGATGTAAGTTTTGCATTGGAGTAGGATTTGCTATTTGGCAGGAGCTCTGAAAGTCATCCTTAGGGTTAATTTCATCTATGTACGAAGTTCTGCACAACTCTGCTTCACTTCTGTGAGATCTCCAAGGGAGACCACAAGGGTGTTATTCTGTGCATTCCTCCAAGATGACACGTACTGAGGCTATGTTTAGTCCAACGAGGTAGCAACCTGTAGTTGAATTTGGCTGCTTTAAAAAAACTAAGTTTGGAACTGGAGCAAAAACCATAGGCCTGTACGCTAGCACATTTTCTTTCCAAAATTTTAGGGAGCTGTATTTGTTACCAATTCAAAATAACATTAGAAGATCCCCAAACCACTATCACCACCCCAAAAATACAACCAATGATTAGAAAAGCTTTTATGCACCCAAATCTGCTAGCAAATGCTTTCCTTAGGTTAGTAAAGCGAAATTACGTTTCAGCATGCTAGGACTTCATTTGAATGAACCTACACAATCAGGATGGGACACTGGGAAATAATTAAACAGAAAGGCTTTATCTTTTAATTCCTTACTATGAGAACAGAGCGCCCCAGAATTAATAGAAGTATTTTCAGATACTTTGGATGAAATCTAAGATCTCAGCTACTTTTGGGGACCAATTTGATGGCAGTACGTGCTTTTATAACTTTTGTTTGGCTTACGCGCATGGAAAAACAACAGAAACAGTAGCAGCTTTATTTTGATAACTGCAAAACTGTTATCTCTACCTAATCATGCAAGCAGTATTGTCAGCTGATAGAACGATATACTGCTGCTAAGAATTTCAAGAGACAAACCTTTGCCTACCCCCACCCAAAAAAAAATCAGAAAAAAATAACATATGAGTAATTTTTGGCTTTTTCGCCAGATGATTATTAGTTTTCATCAAAGCAGAATGCATTTAATTTTCTTCTATTGAAGTAGGGCATCATTAACACCAGAAGGATGAAAGCTCTTAACAATCTTTCAAAGGACAGTCAGAAATTATCACATTCCCTACCACATGCTCTTGTGAATGCAGTCTTCACAAATCGGCTGACAATGAGGCAAGCCTCGATGCTGACATTTCTTTTAAATGGCGCAGTTAAAGGCCGGCTGACGTCAAACAATTAAGTTGCTTTTCCAAGCCACTATTATTTAAATGTTACCTTCATCTGGATTCACAACCATCTTGACCAACCATCATCCACTCCAATTTCTTTCAAAACACACACACAACTACAGAACCGTGGTTCTCTACTTGGCCCTTTTAAAAGTTAAATTTAACACTATCCATGTAACAGTAAAGATAAAATATTGTGTATAACCTATGGTTTATAGAAAGCCAAGACTTTTATCTTGGCCCACAAGGCTGGGAGCGTAACAGGAGGTACGTTACACATCAACAATTAAAAGATAACAGGGAGGTCCATTGGTAATATCTCATAAATGGCAATTCAGCCCAGGTGACCAGAAAGTTGGGCAGAAGCAGTTCAAACCATTCAAAGAGACTCATCAATAAATGTGGTTGGAAATTCATGTTGCAGTTTCCAGGATTCTGTATCTACCCTTAATTTAGCATGAAGGAGACCTTCTGAAGTCGGTGTAGTTCTTGCTTCTTGATCTTGCCCAACTGGGAGAGCTTTACAGTACCAGGAATTTAGTGCTACACGGTACTGGCCAACAGTGGATTCTCCCTTGTAAACACAGGTTGCTGAAAAGGATGCAGACGTGGATTCCCTAAGTGTAGCTAGTTCTGAGACAGTTCTCCCACTGTTCTCATGGGGACTTCTCTATAGTTTGTACAAGTGCATGGAAAACCCCACCTCCTTTGGATTCCGCAATCTATCAAGCTGGAGGTGGGTGAGCATTATTCCAAATAGCAGGTGGCAGATAGTTCTTTTACAGATGGCTTATCACAAAAAAGAACAAACGTATCATTCACTGACTTTACACAAATGTGCTCTTTTGGCCACTTAAACATGATTTGTTAATGAAACAGGGCAAAGGTACTCAGGTGTCCAAAGAAGGAGCAAGTGACATCATGTGTGACGAGACATCCTTGTGCAAATGGTGTGAGTTACGTCACTGAAGTCATGATGCACGTGACCTCCTTGTGGCTTGTTCCAGATGCCACTGCATCAGTGGGTGAAAGAATTTAGAGATGACCTCCTGGAAGGTATAAAAGGGACTTGTAGAAAAGATTACACGGTCCTGAGAGAAGAGCATAGGAAAGAAACTTAAAATAGCTCCATCTTGATTTTGTTTGGTATAAGATGGGACAAAGGAAATTTGGACAAGATTCAGTTACCCTACATTACAACAACAAAGCCGCATTTCTGGAATCCATGCAGTGTCTGCTTCCTGACCTGACCTACTTGAAGGACTGACAGTGTTACTGGGATACACATTTCTAGGAGCTAAAGCCCACTTCAACGTATATATGAATTAGGTGGTTACTTTGTGTGGGCATCTCCAGAACACAAAGGAGGAGGATTTTTAAAAAATCAAAATGAAGTCACAAGGCCAAGAGATAAAACAGAAAGCTGCAGGTTTGTTAAAAAGAGTGGGCACTTCACATGAAGGACATCTACATCTTTTTGAAAAATAGAAATGTCACTTTTCTTTAGAACGTACAAAACCTATGTAGGCCCCATTCACAAAAGTACAGACTCTAGAGTTGCTACTTTGTCTCCTAGTTAATTACTACATTAAATTAAAATTGCTGTTTGCCAATGTAGGTAAGCTCCTTAAGGTGTGATCATCACTAACAACGCCCTCCTTCTTGTCCTCACCACCTGGTGCAAACAGGTGATGATCATGAAGCCACAGGGGCTGATCATGAAGCTCAGGCAGGCTTCTGGGGCTGCAAATAGTTTCAGGTAACCAGGTTCAAAGCTATAAAGAGGAACCTTTTAAAGAGAACTGATAAGAAACAAGCAACAAAGAATTTATTTATAATGCATTCCCTCTATCACCAGGGCAGAGTTCCACCACCATAAAAATTAATAGACACTAATCAGCAGGAATACAAACAATGTGGACCATGATATTTTCATATATTTATAGTCACAAGAAAAATAAGTCTTATCCAAGTATGACACCCTGAGCCCACCTAGTATTTCACTTTGCTGATACGATGTGCAGCAAAATAGCAGATCTACTACCCTTTGCAGCTTCTGCTCACCACCACTTCCACCTATCGGTCTGCTTTGTTACATAAGTACATTTTAAAGATGAAATTCAAGGAGGTGTATATTCCGTTTGAGGGCCCACGTCCTGAAACACATGCAAAGGGACCTGAAGGCAGCCCATACCCCATTGACCACATTCCATAAATCGGATCTCACCTTCCAACAAGTCTCTGGCTAGACCAGGCTCTGCCCCCGTGGACTGAACGAAGTCTGAGAGGACAGCATCCATATCAAGAGTCATGGGATCATGTAGCACAGCTGCTAACGGGGCAGCAGAAGAAGCAAGGTTACAAGACGTCCATCTACAAAGAGGGAGAAAGAGGATCCCAGATAAATAATCTATCGAGAGGTGAGACATCAGCTTTCTGAAATGGAACTCCTGAAAATTAAAAATGGAGGTTTTGACTATGCATGCTTGACCCTCTTTGATTCTTCCACAGCTGGTCAGTCAAGGGCCCCAATTCAGACTCTTGCCCACGCTCGATTCCACCTCCCTCCAACATTTGGGTCTGCCCAGCTCTTTGGTGGAAAATAAACTGCAAAAATGAATGTCCATAATCATTGTCTACACCCAACAAGAGAGTTTGGGGAAAAGAAAGACCAGTGGTATGGTGAAGTCCACCAATCAGGGCAATTTTTTTTTAGAAGTTTGTTTTCTGGGCAAAGAACAATCTTGTCTCTTCTTCCTTGAACAGTCCTCAATCAACTCTTCTTAAGGGTTCCAAATGGTCTATAATTATAAGGCCCAAAGTTTTCCTTTAAACAATTAGCCTTAAAATTGATACTGTCCAGCTGCAAACTCATTTTTATGGAATAAAAGTCCATAAGTGCATCATAATTCAACACATGTTTTTTAATACACAGGCTTTTCTAGCTGTGTATTGGCTGTGTTTTTAAATTGCTCTAGGGACTAACATGACAAGTTCCAGCACAGGAATTCTTCAGCTCCTATTTCACAGCCATAAATTCACTAGGAAACTAATTTTCTCTTAGCCTTAGCCCCAAGCAGTGCTGGAATAATACTACACTCTTAGATGCTTGTTGCGAGGGTTACCCATATCTTCTCGGTGAAGCATCAAAATGGATTTAATTAGAAAGTGCGGTTATTTTTTAAAGCTCACAACACTGCTGGCCTCTACAACCACAAAACACAGGCCCTGCTCACATGTTTACAATCTTATTATTATTTATTTGGGTCATCCATGCCTGGATGACACGCTTTCCTGGCGTGCCTCGTTCTCTTCCTCTTCCTTTGTGGTGTGATGATCGCCACCATATTCCTCCTTGACAACAGAGCTGCTCCTGTTCTTGGAAGGGTTTCCTCCATAACTTTCCTCAGGAGCAACAGATGGTGTTAGTTTGGCCAGAGAGGGCAAATACACCAGACTTCTACACAGCCGAGTCAAGGAATCTCTTTTGATTGTAACTATGATCGCAACCAAAAGGAGAACAGAGAACGCTATTCCCAGTCCAATTCCCAAACTGGTGCTCTTCATTTTACACAAGTGAACTTCTTGCCCACATTGACTCTTCCAAGCTGAGATCACGCCTTGAGGGCCAAGCCCACAGTACAAGGCTATGTTCACATAATTGTTGCCTTTCCTGAGCTACTGTGGTTTTTTTCATTATTGCATCACAATCAAGCTGAGGATCAAGATGACATGTCAGGTCAGCAATGACCAATACAACCTTTTGGCTTCCCTACAAAGAAGGGTGTTTTATTAAAGGTTTTATGAAACCTCCAAGTTTCAACTAGCTGTTTTCTTGGAAGTCTCATCCTAGGATCTAAAGCAACATCCGCTATTCTTGACCTTGTTTGGAAGAACATACCACATAAAAGCAGGCACTGAAGACCTTGTTACAACTGCTGATATAATCTGTTTCTTAATATTATAAATCATCCTGTTCCATACAGACTCCATGGCCACCACAGAGAGAAGGACTCTGTGATTCAACTTTGCAATTGAGGCTCACTCGGTTTCAGTAATTTGGAAAACGGTGACTCTCATCTCCCCAGCTATAAGAGGGAAGGGACTGTTAGGCCACCATTATTCATGTTTCTGATAGGGGATTATTTAATTGCTCGTAGGTGGGGCAAGCCTTGAAGGCAAACCTACATTTCCCTATTTGCTTGTAGGCTCAATTGAAGGTCTTGGTCTTCAAAGGCCTAGAAACACTATGGGATTCAAAACACCTGAAGGACCTGCTCACGCTGTTCATGCTGGCTGAGCAACCTCTTCTTAAAGCAGTTGGCATGCACTAGGTGCTAATTATTCTGTGTCATCGTATTTTAGTGCCTTATTAAAGTTGTTGGATTACTGGATATTTACAGTATGTGTAAATGTTACCACTCTATGACCACTTGGGGCTCTACCTTGTAACAGTGCATTTATATGTTATTGCTTTAGTTTTGCATTTTGATCTGTCCCTTTAATGGTTTTACTGGGTTTTTATAAGCCACCCAGCACCATTAAGCTTAATTAAGTTAATTAATTCATTAATTAAGTTAATTAAGTGGCATATACATTTTCTAAATAGAATAAAATGGCAATTTCCCCATACCATACGTGACTAAAGAACGTGTGAGGACCTAGTCCATGGACTAGCTTGGTTTGATGCATTAGGGCAGTGTTTGTCAACCTTGGGAACTTGAAGATGTGTGGACTTCAACTCCCAGAATGCCCCA